CAGGAAGCCTCCTTCACTGGGCATGTTGTAGCCCCATTTTAGGTATTCCAATGAGTTATAGGCAGAAGACGGACTTACAAGCTTTCTATGGTGATGCTTTTCGCTATTCCTTTTTCTCCCCCTCCAGTGTCTGTTTTATAATATAATGTTACAGACCGTCCAGACCCGGTCAAGAGTTTGAGGCCCTGTGGGCCCAAGTGTTGCAGACCGTACAGGCCGCAGGCTCTGAGGAACAGACTCTAGCCACCTAGCAGACATAGCAAACTGTTTTTCATCTTAGTATTCAGTTATGTTTATTATTAATTGCATACATGAAACCCTGATATCCACAGATAAATGTAATATTTTCCTAAAAGCTGAGACTGTAAAATTCCAAAAAGGCAAAGTTCTTCTCTCAAAGAATTCATTCAAAGTAAATTGGGTGGCTCCCCGGTCTTTGTTCTAAGGACAAAAGGACACCCTCCCTAAAGTGTTTCCAGGTGCAGCCCTATTCACCCAGGCATCTCTTTTCCTGGAGAACCTGGGCTGGGCAGCCGACACAATGGGAATCCTCCCAATCCTCCTTTTCCTTCTCCCATTTGAGGCTAGGTGCTAAAAGGTGTGTTAATTAAGTTTGAGAAACCAAGTTGCGGTCGTGAGATTCGAACCTGCGAAGTTCGATGTAAAGCTGTCTGAATGTCTGGAAAATTACGTACATTAGTTGTACCTTGTCTTAGTCCCGACCAGCTTTGTGTAAGTTCCTCCCCTGAATAAAACGGAGGCAAGCGCAGAACGAATCCAGGTGCATTACAACTTGGAGAGCGAGCTATACAGCTGACTAAGCATGTGTTGCTGACCAGCTAGTAAGGGGTGCGTACTGCCCGCATAGCTAAGATGTTTGCTATGCGGGATCTTACTGCCCTCATGGCTAATATGTTCACCACGCCAGATCTGCCGGACACCAGTAATGCATCCACTCTGGTTTGGGGGTGTCTCTTTGTTTCTCTCGTTGTGTCTCTGTGTCTCCTCTTTCGCTATCCCTATCGCCGCCAGATATCCCCACCTCGTGAACCAAACATCCATGTCGAGGCCAGTCCTCGGCAATATAATGCAAGGAAAACCAAGATTCAAAAGACAGCCAAGCATCTTAACATTATTCCCCCCTTTTCCCCATCCCAACCATGGCTCAATCACTGTATCCCAGAACCCTGTTGTTCCCAGGTTGTGCATATATCATTATTTACCTCTGTCCCACTTAGCCCATTGAGACCTAATTGTTCT